ACCACCCCCACACTGGAAATGAAGGAAACTCATGAAAAGAGAGCTCACCTAATCCTATGTCACCTTCCAGAGGTTAGATGAAATGCAAAGCAGATATGAAATTGCCTTCCATATGCCACTTCTGTGCCTTCAGTCAGCAAAGGCTTGGGATGGAAGGAAATGAAGCATAAGATGGTGACACCCCAGCATTAGGAAAAGGCCAGATCTCCACAAAGTAGCAGGAGAGGAAGGCGTGCGCGCACACACACACACACACACACACACACACACAGTCTGCTAGTCTCTACTCTTTCTTTTCATCTCACTACTTTCTACTGGGTCAAGACTTGTTTTCACCTGGAAAATTTTAAGCCTATGGTTCTTAGTTGACCCATGACCTCTGAGTAGAAAAGCTGCTGCGTCTCATAGGTACATATAGTCAAACTTCACTAAGCTGCCCAATCAAAGAAAGAACAAACAAAAATAGTTATTATGTACGTAACACTCTTAGATGATTTATTTCACTTAAGACATTTAAAACATTAAGACAATTTCCCTTCTCCTTCAATGAACATGTGTCTTTGGGGTCCCTATATGTACTACAGACCAGTGCAGTTCCACTCCTACATTTAACATCTGATTTCTAATGCAAAAGCTCTTTTTATTCTGCCTTCCATTTTAGCTATCACAGTCTGTCAAAATTGCTGTTCTTCTCTCCCGTATTTATAGCGAGTCATTACTACTCATCATGAGGCCATCTGCACAATGTCACTGGGTAGTGACACGCAGCCTTTGTTCAAACCCTAGGGTGCTGCATCTTGCAGGATGGATATTAATGCTACTAAATCCATCTTCAACATTTCCAAACAACAGCATTCATAAGAGCTATTATATCTGCACAGTAGCAAGAAGAGAGGGTGCAGCATATTATTAGCAGGAACTGCCCATTACAATAGAATTATTACATTATAAGCAGAAAATAGATTTCCTTTTCTCTCTTTGTAATATTGTACTTCATATTCTTGGAAAGACAATCCTTGTACAGAGGTGGTTACAGTTGTCAAGCATGTAGTATGATGTCACGCAGCTGGGAGCATATCCTGTGGGCCCCTGGCTAGATGTTAACCCTTTAATTAACTTACTTTAATTTAATTTAATTTAATTTTGTTAACCTTTTAATCTAACCATGGTGGCACATCAGAATCACATGTGGAACGGCCTGAGGAGTTCAGTCATTTGGATTTTAAAATTGTTTATTTTCAGGGGCATCTGGGTGGCTCAGTTGGTTGAGCATTTGACTTCAACTCAGGTCATGATTCCAAGGTTCATTGAGTTCGAACCCCACATCGAGTTCACTGCTGTCAGCCTGTTAGCACAGAGCCTGCTTTCGATCCTCTGTCCCCCGTCTATACCCTTCCCCTGCTTGTGCTCTTCCCCAAATGACCCTTTGTTAATTCTGTTGCATCTTCAGAATTAAGACACCAATGATTTAAGTTGTTGCCCGGTATATAAAAACCATGTCAAGTTCTGCTGCTGTGTCAAGTATTTAAACATAAGTAAGGTGGTCCGGTTGACCTGTGATTTGTTTCATGATTGATGTTTTATGTTCCAATCCACCAAACAAAGACACATTATATTTTCCTATTAAACATGGAAGACTATCCTTCAAGTGCACAGAGGGTGTGGTTTTACAAAACGTCTTAAAACACAAAGTCTTTCAAGTTATCTCTCATTCTCCCATTTGTGATAGAGACATTAACTAACACACAAAATAATACTGCAGTCTTGATGACTAATGGCAACTAAAATTTGGCCCCAGAGCTGTAAAATAAAGAGGAGTAGCTAAAGTGGTAGGAGCACATCCTCTCCAAATGAAGCAGCTTGTAGTCTGTTCCAGGCAGCTATAAGCAAGGGAGCCCTGCATAACCAGATTTCCAGAATTTTCAGAAAATTTCAGAAATCCATATTTTGTATGACTTCTTTTGATTTTTAAATATTGGCGACTAATTTGGAGTTTGAAAAAAAAGCCTATGGGGATCTATATTCATGTGATGAACAAACTTGTGTGGGCTGGATTTGGTAGAGGACCTGAGAGTTTGTGATCTGTTATTTCAACTGGTATCAACACTGCCACATTGACAGGAGGAAGGTCAGATATATAAAGAAGAGAAAGGCCTCCTTGTGTGCCCGTGAGGACAGTCAATTGTACACCTGAGGACAGCAGAAATGTTGTGTCACTGTAGACAAATTTTGCTGACTTTAGGACTTTAACTAACAATTGTCCTATCTCCAGGGAGCAAACAGTCACTCCCACTTGTGATAAGACAACCATTTTCAAGAAGTTCTTTGAAAAGCAGTATTTGAGAAAGGCATGGTGATCACAGCATTGGGTAGGCTAGGACTCTGCTTTCAGAAGCTAGGAGCTCTTAAGGAAAAAAATTAGAAATGTAAAAGATCATAAGATAAACTTTTTAAAAGTCACCGTTTGATGTGAATGTACTACTTCATCTTTCCCCGGACTTATAGAGGTCCTGTAGAGTGCTTCTTTTCATAAAATTGCAATTGAAACCTACTCTTATATAAGGAAAATTGTTAATTGAAGCATATACAGTAAAATTGTATCATAATTTTATCAAATAGAGTTGCAATTCAATCCCATAAGCCATAGCACTGTACTTTCTGTGTGCTTGATACGACACAGTTGACTTTTGGTGTCTGTTGCATCAGTTCATGGATCTTGAAATTGTCAGGAAACAGCAATATACTCAAAGAATGTGAAACACCTATCAGATATTTTCCTTTAAAAAAAAACTTGGTTAAAGAGGGCCAGAGACAAATGACAAAAGCAACAACAAATCACAACAATGCAATTATTGAAAGTTGGCATGGAATCCTGGACACAGACGTTTCCATGGAAGGCAGATTGAAGAGAGACCTGGGCACTCCACATGGGTTCCTGATATCTCAGATGGAATATTATCAGCATATATTCAAGCATCTTGGATAGAACAACTTAGGTAAAGACAAAGACATATTTAACCTAATGAAGCTTGAATATGAGGGTCCTCTTCAGTGTTCCTTTGACCTTTTCCAAGGCTCCACTGTACTCCTCCAGGGAGCTTTGGGGAAATCCACTCCTCTGGCTGTGCTGCTGTAGCCTGGGAGTCATTCATCTGCTCTAGTAGTATTTCTGGGGATCTAGGTGGATCCAGAAGGCTGCCTGCACTACTTCTGGCTCCTGGAATCAACCTGCTAAACCTCAGAACTTCAGGGAGTTTGGGAGCACCTGGGTGACTCAGTCGGTTAAGCATCTAATTCTTGATTTTGGTTTAGGTTATGATCTCATGATTTGTGGGACTGTGCCCTGTGTTGGGTTCTGAGCTAACAACATGAAGCCTGCTTGGGATTCTCTCTCTCCCTCCCTCTGTCTCTCTGCTTCTGCTCCTCATTCTCTCTCTCTCTCAAAACAAATAAATAAATTTAAAAGAAACAAAAAAATTCCAGAGAGTTTTGAGTTCAAGAAGAATTAGAACCAAGATACTACTCTGCTACCTAATAGAAGATTACCAAAATTGAGGATCCACAAAAGTCAGCACCCTCCAGGGCCATCAGACTGGGATGGGGAGGTGAGGCAGGGACACCAGGCTGAGATAAGCCTAATCCCAAGATTGAAGCATCAACTGAGAAGAAACGACGCAGGACATTACAGATGTGGCATTACTAATAACTAGCAATGTTGAAAGGAAATTTCTATGTCATCAAAAATAATTTAAGTATTTTTTGATACATAATTCTGGAAGAAAAAAGTGAGTTATATTTTATTCTTTCTACAGAAAATGGTGTTGACAAAATCATTGTCATATGTGAGAGTGATCAAATTATTGTCTTTATTTTGTGATAGTTGTGTTTTATTGTTACCATGTTTGTATTTGTTAATACTATGTTTATTCTGAATTATCATTCATATTTACATCCAGTATTATATTCATAATGTTGTATTCTTTTTCTTAAAGACGTCCCCCAAAATTATGAACTTCAAGATCTGCCAACCAGGGTCCCCTCTAGTAAGAAAATAGGGACAGAATCATGTACCAAAAGCAAGGAGAAAAACATAGAATCTGCCATGACCTTGGAAATACTCAGAAAACATTCAAAATTTCAAGAGTTATGGGAGGGTAGACCTCAAGAAGTTTTGCACATAAAAATGTATCATACAAAAGCCACGAATTAAGTTCATTTTGAAACAATTTGATATGATCGGACTAAGAGATAGAATATCCACAAGCTGTCCAGTGGGACAGGCAATCCTGACAGTCCAGTCCCTCTTTCTACCACTATCTCTGATTTCCTCACCTCATGTCAATAGTTTGGTTTTCTTCACATGTGTCCATATTGGTTGGTCTCTTCTAGCTTTAGATTTGATTTCCTTTTTCTAAACACTAAATTTTTACAACATATTTGTTCAGGATTATGCCCACTTCTGATCATCTCTGTCAAATTCTTTGGCTTCCTTTTCTAAGAACCCTCTAGACTGGACACAGGAAACATGGCTAATAGCAAGTACTAGATGCAAAAGTATGTTAGAGAGTGAACCAATGGCTTGATGTAGGGGCAATCTTTAGAAGGTTCCTCATCAAGACCAGATTTCTGCTTCTCAGACACGGACACAAAAGGGAGATAACTGCCTTATAATCCCCACATTTGGAAGAAAACATTCCTCAGCCAAATCTGAGCACGTGTACAAGTAGTCATGACCAGAAAAATAAGAGGGGCTTCCCTGGCCATGACATTACATACCATCATAGCATTTGTAACATGGATGTAATTCACTGACATGGAGCTATAAAATGAGTGCGCCCATAAATATAAGATGAAGAGAGTTAGTTAACTCCAGTTACAAAGAGGACTATTGAGTTACATGTATGCAAATAAGGGACTCCAAATCTGGAAAAGATGACACTGTAAGGTGCCACACCCATTGCTAAAAGTATATAAATGCCTCACTTGAGGAATAATATTCAAGCACAGAATCCTCTGACTGTCACTCAGCTGAACTCGCATCTCCTGCCAACATGTCCTATAGCTGCTGCTCTGGAAACTTCTCCTCCCGCTCCCTTGGGGGTTACCTGCGCTGCCCAAGCTCCTCCTGTGGCTCTTCTCCCAGCAACCTGGTCTACCGCACTGATTCCTGCTCTCCCAGCACCTGCCAGCTGGGCTCCTCCCTCTACAGCGGCTCTCAGGACACCTGCTGCGAGCCCACCAGCTGCCAGATGTCCTGCGTGGTGTCCAGCCCCTGCCACGGGTCCTGCTCCCGCCCGAGGACCTCCACGCTCTGCAGTCCCTGCCAGACGACTTACTCTGGGTCTCTGGGCTTTGGGTCCAGGAGCTGTCATTCCCTGAGCTATGGATGCAGAAGCTGCTACTCCCTGAGCTGTGGATCCAGTGGCTTCAGACCCACAGCTTGCCGAGTCCAAGGTTTCCCTTCCATGAGCTATGGATCTCAGTTCTGTCACCCATCCTTCTTGACTTCTAGGACTTTCCAGTCTTCTTGTTACAGACCAATTTGTAGATCAGGCTTCTACTGATCACCTTATTAAATTTCTAATCTTATTGTTCATCTCAGCAATGTCTCTACTCATAACCTTTATTATCTTCATCACTTACAGGAAGAATTCACTTCTTATTCTTTGAATATCAAATTCTCACCTTGTCTTTGGACCGGAATACTGGCTGACATACTTTATTTGAAAAATTCTCCAATTAATGTACTACCTGAAAATAAGGTCTAAAATCTGCATTGGAGATAATATTCATGTTATTGGATTTTCTTCCAAACTTGTATGAAAAAACAAATCATTATAATCTAATAAATTTATTGGTTCTGATTATTCAGTTATGTTTATTGTTGTTAGTTGTTTATTGGCTAGGTTTTTGACTGTCATAGATAAAGAAGATATTATGAAAATATGTATATGCACCTGGAAATAGATTTTGAAATCTTGAGAAATTGGGGATTTGAACTAATTTTGAGGGACTTCAGATATTTTTCCTACTCTAACTACAGATAGTGGAAGACTATTGTTTAAAATTTTTAAGAATGGAAATCTCAGATTCAGGAATTAGATTGATTCCCTCACAAAATGTAGGAATGCCAAAATGTGTAAGGTAACAGACTAGCTGATAGTTACATAAGGGATTCAGAGGATAAAAATAATATTTAGATTTATATAGTAAGGCCTATACACGAAAGAAAAACTGAATAGAACACAAATTGACATCATTATGTATGAATTTTAAGTAGTTTTGCTTGAAGTCACCCACCTTTTCCTGGTAAGGTGATAAGCACCTGCAATCTCACTGATGAGTTCTCAGTATGATCTTATCTACATATGTGTAACGAGTGATATCATCCCAGTGAAGAATCTAAAATCATAAGGATGATTTCCACCTTGGTTTTTAATCATGCTTCAAACTCAAAGATAATAAGCATTTGATACCATCAGGTATGGTGATTTAATGCGTCTCTCACCAAAAAAGTTGGGGACACATTTTTATTTTCATGACATGATTCTCTGTTATTTTCAGGCAAAGTATTTCCAGGAATAGCAAAATGCAAAGATAGATTTTGATAAAGAACTTAAAACTGAGAACAAAAGGAGTTAAACTATGTTCAATAAATATCCCCAAGCCTTATTTCTTTCGGCTGTACAACAGCCCTTAGAGAAGGATAGCCTTTACAAATTTGTTATGATAAATGTAAGATAATGGAGACTCATGACCTGAGCTAAAATCAATAATCGGACGTTTGACTGACTGAGCCACCCAGGCGCCCCAGACTAAAAATTATTTTTATATTCAAGAATTCTTGAGGGATGCCTGGGTGGCTCAGTCAGTTAAGCGTCAACTTCAGCTTCATGTCATGATCTCACAGTTCATGAGTTCGAGTCCTGCCTCGGGCTCTGTGCTGACAGCTCAGAACCTGGAGCCTGCTTCGGATTCTGTTTCTCCCTTTCTGTCTGCTCCTCACTCTCATGCTTTGTCTCTCTCCCTCAAAAATAAATAAACATTAAAAATTTTTTAAAATAAAATAAATTATTGAAAATTCAGTTAACTTACAATTAAAGGAGATATTTATAAGGTGTGCCAATGGACTACATGGTTAAAAATAGTTGGTGGGTGGAGCGCCTGGGTGGCTTAGTCAGTTAAGTGTCCGACTTCATCTCAGGTAATGATCTCACAGTTTATGGGTTCGAGCCCTGTGTCAGGCCCTGTGCTGACAGATCAGTGCTTGGAGCCTGCTTTGGATTCTGTCTCCCTCTCTCTCTGCCCCTCCTCTGCTCACACTCTGTCTCTCTCTCTCTCAAAAATAAATAACATTGAAAGTTTTGAAAAAAGATGGTTGATCAGTAACGGTCACTCATCACTTAAAGGTATTACATTTTAGTTATTTTTTTAGAGGTATTACACTGTAAAGCACAATAATTCTTGTTCCCACTCCCCTTCCATTCAAACTATTAAACTAGTTTTGTGATCGGACACTTACTTCTATTTCTCACCAACTCTAATCATTCTTTCATATTTTATAAGGTAAATCTTGTGACCAAGGATTAATTATAAATTTTAAATTTATTCCTAAGAGGGAATAAGATAAAAATTGCTACACTTACAAATGAAAAAATACATATTTTCAGAACTAGTATCTTTTGTTTAGAAAATCTAGATAAAGAAAATATATGTGTAATTTCCAGAAATTACCAGGGACAAACCTCAGGGAGGTTTCAACAATAACAACAAAGTCACAGAATTTGTGACTGTTTTTAGATTAGGAATATTGCTGAATCCAAATGAGAGGCTGATATGACTAATGAGCTCAGGTGACCAAAACTGAAGGTTAGAAATTTCTAATGATTTTGGCCAAAATTTTCTGAGACTGAACAAAACCTAAGGACTAACGTAAGCCTCAAATATTTACCCCTTCTTACATGCTAAAGCTCATCTCTAAGTCATTTCAATGCTTGATTAGATTAGCTGGGTATAAAGATGACCTTCAATGATTTCTTGAAGAAATAGATAGATATAGATATAAATGTAAATGTAAGCATAGCTTTATAGGTATAGATATAATTATACATATATTTGCATATGATATGTATGAATATACAGATGTTAAAGATAGGTGATATAGACAGAGATCATCTAATATCCTTGTAAAATTTACCAGGCCTTAAGAAGTTAAGAAATGACTGGGGCGCCTGGGTGGCTCAGTCGGTTAAGCGTCCGACTTTCGCTTAGGTCATGATCTAGCGGTTCGTGGGTTCGAGCCCCGCGTCGGGCTCTGTGCTGACTGCCAGCTCAGAGCCTGGATCCTGTTTCAGTCTGTGACTCCCTCTCTCTCTGACCCTCCCCTGCTCACGCTGTCTCTCTCTCTCTCTCTCTCTCCTCGAAATAAATAAAACATTTAAAAAAAAAAAAAGAAGTTAAGAAATGACTAAATCCAAAATATGTACCACGTAGTATAAGTCACTTTAGGAAATAAAAAGATAAATTTAAAATTATAAGACAGAGGGAAACCTATTAAAATAACCAAGTAAAAATTCTAAAATTGAAAAGTGCAGTAAGTTAAATGTAGAATTGTTGAATGGATTACAAAGAAATTAGACACAGCTGGAAAAACAATTAGAGATTGTTCTGGAAACATATCCAAACTAACAAATAAAGAGAATGCATCAGAGTCAAAACTGATGAGCAAAAAAAAGAGATTTCAAAGCCACAAAAAGAGAAAGAAAATGCAAGTTACCTTCAAAAATTAACAGTAAGATTGACAGCTGAATTCTAAACAGATAGAAAAAGGGAAGTAGGAAAACAATTAAATAGCCTCAAATTTCTGAAGAAAGAAAAACTTTAAAACTAGAGTACTTGACTAGCTAGTGTTTGTTTCACAACTGAAGGAAAAATATAGAATTTTCAGACAATCAAAACATAAAGAATATGTCACTACCTTTCCAGCACTAAAATATATCATAGAAGTTATAGACTGTCAGAAGCAAAATAATCCCAGAACATACAAAAAAGACCTAAGAAGAAATGAAGAGTAAACAAAAGATGGAAGGAATCATCTGCAATTATAGAAATTATAGAAAATATCACTGAATTACATGTTTGAAAATGAGAAATTCCAAGTGTGGGAAAGGTGACTGTAAAACATGCCACACCCATGGCTGACTATATAAAGGCCCCAGCCTAGGAGGGGACATTCAACCTTAGAATCTTCTCACTATCGCTCAGTTGGACTCACATCTCCCATCAGCATGTCCTACAGCTGCTGCTCTGGAAACTTCTCCTCCCGCTCCCTTGGGGGTTACCTGCGCTGCCCAAGCTCCTCCTACCCCAGCAACCTGGTCTACTGCACGGACCTCTGCTCTCCCAGCGCCTGCCAGCTGGGAGCCCCCATCTACGGCAGCTGTCAGGACACCTGCTGCGAGCCCACCAGCTGCCGGACGTCCTGCGTGGTGTCCGGCCCCTGCCACGCGTCCTGCTACCGCCCGAGGACCTCCACGCTCTGCAGTCCCTGCTGGCCTGCTTACCCTGGGTGTGTGGGCTTTGGGTCCAGAAGCACCTGTTCCCTGAGCTCTGGATCCAGAAGCTGCTACTCCCTGGGCTGTGGATCCCAAGGCTTCAGACCCCTGGGTTATGGAGTCTGTGGTTTCCCTGCCCTGAGCTGTGGATGCAGATTCTGCCGCCCAACCTACTTCTCCTCCAGGACCTGCCAGTCATCATGTTACAGACCAACCCGTGGATCTGGATCCTATACATCAACTTGTTAAGCGTCTAGAAGTTTTGAGGGATGTGTCTAACTCTTAAACAGGGGGTCTATCATCTTCATGATCTTCAGGAAAAAACTCTCCAGTCAACCTATTACCCAGCTGCAAAGCACTGGCCATAAAACTGTGGCTAACATGTACCAAACTTGACTATTAATTTTATTGGATGATTTAATAGAATTAGTGGAATTAATGAAATAAATTGTGAGATCAATTAATGGAATTTATGTTAATAAACTTGACTTAATGTTAATGAAATAATCGGATTCTTGTTCATGCGTTTTATTCACAAGAGAGATGAAAACCCAAATGAACATAATGCAATAAAGCCTTTCTTTCTTTCTTTCTTTCTTTCTTTCTTTCTTTCTTTCTTTCTTTCTTTCTTTCTTTCTTTTGCTATTGCTTTTGTGGGGGGTATTTAGTAAGTTAATTTTTACTATGTCTCTGGGAGCAAACTTTGGAAACTTAGTAGATTGGTGAATTTGAGCTAATTTATTTGGGGCTTTACACATTTCTTTCTTTAAAACTTTTTTTTCTGGAATCCTTTTTTATGCACACCTAAACTTTATATGAATAATAATCCCTGGAGCAGTATTAAGCGTATTTTCTCCAAAGGATGCGGGACCTCGGTGTTTTCTGACAAAAGGAAAAAACACATCGGATACATCTAAATTCCTGGATGGTGGCAATTTACCTGATCAGTTAGTTAGGGACCTGGAAAGGAGAATACTAGAATATTGATACAAAGAATCTGGTGTAGAGGT